TAATTTACGAAATACGTGAATCGAAGTATTAACGAATACGTGAATCGAAGTATTTTACGAATACGTGAATCGAAGTATTTAACGAATACGTGAATCGAAGTAATTTACGAATACGTGAATCGAAGTATTTTACGAATACGTGAATCGAAGTATTTAACGAATACGTGAATCGAAGTATTTTACGAAAGAGTGAATCGAAGAATACGTGAATCGAAGTATTACGAATACGTGAATCGAAGTATTTACGAATACGTGAATCGAAGTATTTTACGAATACGTGAATCGAAGTATACGAATTGAATCGAAAATTTACGAATACGTGAATCGAAGTATTTTTACGAATACGTGAATCGAAGTCGAATACTTGAATCGAAGTATTTTACGAAGAACGAAGTATTTTACGAATACGAATCGAAGTATTTAACGAATACGTGAATCGAAGTATTTACGAATTGAATCGAATACGTGAATCGAAGTATTTTACGAATACGTGAATCGAAGTATTTAATGAATACGTGAATACGAATCGAAGTATTTTACGAATACGTGAATCGAAGTATTTACGAATACGTGAATCGAAGTATTTTTACGAATACGTGAATCGAAGTAATTTACGAATACGTGATCGAAGTATTTAACGAATACGTGAATCGAAAGTATTTTACGAATACGTGAATCGAAGTATTTTACGAATACGTGAATCGAAGTAATTTAACGAATACGTGAATCGAAGTATTTACGAATACGTGAATCGAAGTATTTTACGAACGTGAATCGAAGTATTTTACGAATACGTGAATCGAAGTATTTACGAATACGTGAATCGAAGTATTTTACGAATACGTGAATCGAAGTAATTTTACGAATACGTGAATCGAAGTATTTACGAATACGTGAAATCGAAAGTATTTTACGAATACGTGAATCGAAGTATTTTACGAATACGAATCGAAGTAATTTACGAATACGTGAATCGAAGTATTTTACGAATACGTGAATCGAAGTATTTTACGATTGATCGAAGTATACGAATGAATCAAGTATTTTTGAATCGAAGTATTTTAATACGAATCTCGTCGAAGTATTACGAATACGTGAATCGAAGTATTTTACGAATGAATCGAAGTATTTTACGAACGTGAATCGAAAGTACGAATGCGTGAATCGAAGTTTACGAATACGTGAATCGAAGTATACGAAGAATCGAAGTATTTACGAATACGTGAATCGAATATTTTACGAATACGTGAATCGAAGTATTTTACGAATTTGAATCGAATACGTGAATCGAAGTATTTTTACGAATACGTGAATCGAAGTATTTACTCGAAGTATTTTACGAATAAGTCGAAGTAATTTACGAATACGTGAATCGAATAATTTTACGAATACGTGAATCGAAGTAATTTACGAATACGTGAATCGAAGTAATTTACGAATACGTGAATCGAAGTAATTACGTGAATCGAAGTATTTACGAATACGTGAATCGAAGTATTTTAACGAATACGTGAATCGAAGTATTTTACGAATACGTGAATCGAAGTATTTACGAATACGTGAATCGAAGTATTTCGAATACGTGAATCGAAGTATTTTACGAATACGTGAATCGAAGTATTTTACGAATACGTGAATCGAAGTATTTACGTGAATCGAAGTATTTTACGAATACGTGAATCGAAGTTTTACGAATACGTGAATCGAAGAATACGAATCGAATACGTGAATCGAAGTATTTTACGAATACGTGAATCGAAGTATTTTACGAATACGTGAATCGAAGTATTTTACGAATACGTGAATCGAAGTATTTTTACGAATACGTGAATCGAAGTAATTTACGAATACGTGAATCGAAGTATTTTACGAATACGTGAATCGAGTATTTTACGAATAATCGAAGTATTTTAACGAATACGTGAATCGAAGTAATTTACGAATACGTGAATCGAAGTAATTTACGAATACGTGAATCGAAGTATTTTACGAATACGTGAATCGAAGTATTTAACGAATACGTGAATCGAAGTATTTTACGAATACGTGAATCGAAGTATTTTACGAATACGTGAATCGAAGTATTTTACGAATACGTGAATCGAAGTATTTTACGAATACGTGAATCGAAGAATACGTGAAGTATTTTACGAATACGTGAATCGAGTATACGATACGTCTATTTAACGAATACGTGAATCGAAGTATTTTACGAATACGTGAATCGAAGTATTTTACGAATACGTGAATCGAAGTATTTTACGAATACGTGAATCGAAGTATTTACGAATACGTGAATCGAAGTAATTTACGAATACGTGAATCGAAGTATTTTACGAATACCTACGAATACGTGAATCGAAGTATTTTACGAATACGTGAATCGAAGTAATTTACGAATACGTGAATCGAAGTAATTTACGAATACGTGAATCGAAGTTATTTTACGAATACGTGAATCGAAGTATTTTACGAATCGTGAATCGAATTTTACGACGATTATCGAAGTAATACGTGAATCGAAAGTAATTTACGAATACGTGAATCGAAGTAATTTACGAGAATCGAAATTTTACGTGAATCGAAGTATTTACGAATATGTGAATCGAAGTATTTTACGAATAATCGAATTTACGAATACGTGAATCGAAGTAATTTACGAATAGAATCGAATTATTTTACGAAAGAGTATCGAAGTATTTTATGAATACGTGAATTGAAGTATTTTACGAAAGCGTGAATTCGCTTGTGAGGGTCATGAGCAAAGGAGTAATTAACTCAATTATTGAGGGTCTGACTCCTCTTGCCGTGTGGTAGGTAGATTTAGATATTTTAGATTTAGTTTCAGTTCCATTTGTTACCATGGATATTCTTCGCTATGACACATATGTTGTTGTTGTTCTTGTTTTTCTTCATCTTCATCTTCATCTTCTTCATCTTCATCTTCATCTTCATCTCATCTCATCTTCCATCTCCATCTCCATCCATCTCCATCTCCATCTCCATCTCCATCTCCATCTCCATCTCTCCACCTCCACCTCCACCTCCACCTCCATCTCACCTCCACCTCCATCTCCACCTCCACCTCCACCTCCACTTCCACCTCCATCTCCATCTCCACCTCCATCCACTCCACCTCCACCTCCACCTCCACCTCCACCTCCACCTCCACCTCCACCTCCACCTCCACCTCCACCTCCACCTCCATCTCCATCTCCATCTCCATCTCCATCTCCTAAACCTCCCCCTGTGTGCAAGGATTGACCGGGGTTGCCATCCCCTGGTAGCGCGCAGGATAGAACGCAAGTCAGCAAGATAGCAAGAACAGCACGTTAACCATTGCACTATAGTTAACAGAGAGCTAGATTTTTTTTTTTTTTTTTTTTTTTTTTTTTTTTTTTTTTTTTTTTTTTTTTTTTTTGTAATCGGGTGACACACGCATGCACGGACACACTGCTTATTCATAGATATTCGTAGAAACACATAGACACATTCGCAAAGGCAGACATAGAGACACTCCCCCCTCTCTCTCTCTATCAATTAATCTATCTTCATATCTATCTGTCGATCTATCTATTAATCTATTTATCTGTCTGCCTATCACACATACACACATATACATATGTGTGTGTATGTATATGTGTATGTTTATGTGTGTGTGTGTTTATATGTGTATGTGTATATGTGTGTGTGTGTTTCTATGTGTATGTGTGTTGTGTATTTCTATGTGTATGTGTGTGTGTGTGTGTTTATATGTGTATGTGGTGTGTGTGTGTGTGTGTTATATGTGTATGTTTGTGTGTGTGTGTTTATATGTGTAAGTGTGTGTGTGTATTTATATGTGTATGTATTTATATGTATGTGTGTGTGTATTTATGTGTCTGTGTATGTGTATTTATATGTGTATGTGTATGTGTGTGCGTGTGTGTGTTTATATATGTATGTGTGTGTGTGTGTTTATGTGTGCATGTGTGTGTTTTTATATAAATGTGTCTCTGTGTGTGTGTATATGTTGTGTGTGTTTATATGTGTATGTGTGTGTGTATGTGTATTTATATGTGCATGTATGCGTGTGTGTATTTATATGCGTATGTGTATGCTTGTGTGTATTTATACGTGTATATGTGTGTGTATTTATATGTGTATATATTTGTGTATTTATGTGTGTATGTGTGTGTATTTATATGTGTATGTATGTGTGCGTGTGGCACTACGGCGCAATTACCCCTTAGCAAAATGCAAGACGAAAAGGGTTGAAGGGAAGGAGTTGGAGAAGCTTCACAGACTCCATAATTTCCTGAACTTTATCGTGTTTACTGGGCCCTTCTTCCTACCCCAATCCTACTTTCTTCCTTCCTTTTCGCTCTCATTTATCTCTCTCTCTCCCCTTCCCTGCTCTCCCAATCTCACTCTCATTCTCGCTCCCTCCTTTCTTTCTTTGTCTTTCTCTCTCTCTCTCTCTCTCTCTCTCTCTCTCTCTCTCTCTCTCTCTCTCTCTCTTCTCTCTCTCTCTCTCTCTCTCTCTCTCTCTCTCTCTCTCTCTCGTCTCTCTCTCTTCTCTCTTTCTCTTTCTCTTTCTCAGTCTTCTCCTCCCCCATCCCCTACCCGCCCCGTCCTCCTTCCCCAACCTCTTCCCTTTTCCCTCCCCTTTCGCCCTTCCCCTCCCTTCTCTTTCCCCTTCCCTCTCCCCTCCCTTCCCTCTTGCCCCCCTCTCCCTATCCCCCCTCCCCCTTCCCTCTCCCCCTCTCCCCTTCCCCTTCCCCTTCCCTATTCCTCCTCCCCTCCCCTCCCCTCCTCGCCCCTACCCCGCCCTACCACCCCTATATCCTCCCATCCCCTCGCCCCTACCCCGCCCCTATCCCCCACCCCTATCCCCATCCCCCGCCCTATCGCCCCTATCCCCATCCCCCCGCCCCATCCCCCTCCCCCTCCCCCCTATCCCCCATCCCTCCCTCCCCTCGCCCTATCCCATCCCTATAATACAACTAGACCCGGCATACCATCGCCATTAGGAAAACCTTATTTGCATGATGTGGCTCCGAGTGGAGGATTCCGGAGCGGCGGAGGGGGAGCTCCTCCACGAGCAGCGGCCATGACGTCAACGAGGTCCCACGTGCGGGTTCGTGGTTCTGAGGAGGAGAGGTCCCTGACGTCGGTCGGGTTCGTGGTTCTGTCCTAGGTGGGCTGACCAGGTCGAGTTCTTCCTGAGGAGGAGGAGGTCCTAAGGTTCGTGGTTCCCTCGGCTGACGTCGTGCGGGTTCGTGGTTCTGAGAGGAGGAGGTCCTAGGTGGGCTGACGTCGGTGCGGGTGCGGTTCTGAGGAGGAGGTCCTAGGTCTGAA